CACTGAGTCAAGGGAGCAGATTTTGAAGAGTCAACGGAGTGTTCTCCTCCGTACAGTTCTGAAGATTAGTCTTTTAACGTTTGGAAAAAAGAGTTAAGTGTGATTGTATGTTTGTCGTATGGTGTAATAAGGAGAAGGGTTTGGAGGATCATGAACTTGAGCCACCCCTTCAAGCATGTGTGTAACATTTCTCATGTTAGGCCTCATCCCTGGCTCTTCATGTATACACCATATCGCTATTCTCACATATCTCTCCACCATCACCATGTCGTCTATCGCCTCTAAATCGCCTTCGATCAGATCCTCCAACTTCCCTTGTCGGAAACAATCGTACGCCCAATCGATGAGAATCACGTTTTCCTCAAGATCAACGGCTTTCTTGCAGCACACGATTTCCAAAAGCATTACTCCGTAGCTATAGACATCCACTTTGGTTGTAATGGGACTATTCCTGAACCACTCGGCCGCCACATAGCCTTTTGTTCCGCGGATGTTTGTTAGCGTGTGCGTTTGGTTCATCATCAGAAGCTTTGCTAGACCAAAATCCGAGATCCGGGGACCGTAATTCTCATCTAGAAGTATGTTTTGCGGTTTTATGTCGCAATGAATGATCTGCTCGCTACATTCTTCGTGTAGATACAAGATTCCTCGGGCAATCCCAAACGCAATTTTCCTTCTATCTTCCCAGCTAGGTCTTGGACGCCTGAAGAGATATTCGGCTAGCGTCCCGTGCGGTAAGAATTCGTAGACTATCAATCGGCTCTGCCCTTCGTTGCAGAGGCCAATGAGCCTCACAAGATTCTTGTGGTGAGTCTGTCCTATGGCTTTGATCTCATTATTGAACTCTTTCTCGTTTTCTCGAGCAACACGGTCTAGTTTCTTGACAGCCACGGTAACTTCCGAATCAGCGGTTACTTTAAAAAATCCTTTGTAGACAATCCCAAAGGCTCCTCTTCCAAGCTCTTCCGTGAAATCTTTTGTAGCCGCGACGAGCTCGCTGTATGTAAAGACCCTCAGATTCAACTCAACTGCAGTAGATGAATCTGTAGCAGCAGTGATATCTCTCGCTTGTTTCAGGTTCTTCTTTCTATACAGAACAACTAATATGAAAGTCACAAAAGCTGAAGTTCCAAGCAGAACCGGGCAAGCGATGATTAACCAGAGACGGTTTTTCCCTTTCTTTCTGGTGATTGGAACATCAACAGCAGCGCGTTTTCGAACCTTAATGAGTGTAACGCTATTTGGTGTACCATCAAGCGAATATCTCTGACCGTTAGACAACGGAGACGTCTTCTTCCAACATACCCGATCGAAAACAATCGCAGCACAAAAGCAGTCGTTAAGGCAAGAATCTTTACAGCGTTCTTCATCATAGTTTCGGTGCATCTCGTAATCTCCGTAAGCGAAATTTGTGCGGTTTAGACGAATAAACTCAAAAAGATTTACATCCGCGTTTGCGTTTGCGGTTTTGTTATCCACTTGATCACAAGTCTGCATCTCGAAATCCGACAAGCAATCACCATACTTGTCACTAGAATCCATCAATGAGAACCTTTCGGGGCATTGACATTTCGGCCTCTTATTATCTCCCAAACTGCATATATTGTTAAACCCACACGCTACATTCCTTATACCTGAGGAGCTCGCACATATATTATCCGGCTCGGACCAAGCCAACTTCCACCCACTATTCCCCTGCCCTTTAGGATGATAGTACAGACCGAAAACCCCGTCGAAATGTAGAACAACACGGAGATAGAAGTCTATAGAAGGTACGGGAGCTTCATTTTTGATAATATAGAATCTCGAATTGTTTCTTTGAACAACATACATGTTGCCTGACTGGTTGAAAACTAATCGACTACCGTTAGTATTACTTGCGTAGTACGACAAGTATTCATCTGTTTCGGCTAGCGTCTTGGGGTTGGGAACGAGAAGCTGAAGATCTCCGTCACCACCTAGACGTAGCAAGAATTTTCCTTTTTTGAAGCTTGTCTCTGTCCGGCGAGATGACAGATTCCCATTAAGTTCTAGATTCTGCATCATTTAGCAACATTTATCAGCCTATGTAACGAATAACTGATCAATCACTATATTCTTTGTAAAATTATAGTGGTTTTGTGTCTATCTTATACTCTCTGTTTCAATATGTATAATATTTTAGAAAAAAAAATTGTTTCAAACTGTATAATGTTTTCAATTTTCAAAGGAAAATCTAAAAAATACCCCAACTAATTTATTTATGCCAGAAAAATATCCCAACTTTTTGCATTCCCCGAAAAATACCTGAACTAAATAATTTTG